TGTGTGTGTGTGTGTGTGTGTGTGTGTGTGTGTGTGTGTGTGTGTGTATCTGTATGTGTGTGGGTACCTGTGGTTTCTCTGCTCTCTCAGAAGGCCAGTAATCGAAGCGAGGACTGCGTCTTTGTGGAAAAGGTTCTGGAAAACCACTACACAGCTCTGATGTCAGCGCGCTACACAGGCTGGTATGTGGGCTTCACTAAAAGAGGCCGTCCTCGCCGTGGCCCCCACACACTCCCGAACCAGCAGGACGTACACTTCATGAAGCGCTTCCCGCCTGGTGAGCAGCCCGACCTCACCACCCCCTTTCGCTTCACCACCATCAGCAAGCGGGGCAAGCGGGTGCGTGCTACCGGGCCCCGCTAGTAGTGGCTAACACGAGCACCCACTGTCTTTTCATCCAAAGCCTTGACCTGAGCCTGCCAATAGCTAACCTAGTCATCTCCTCTGTCACACACGACTGAACACCTCTCTTTGTTGGGACAAACATTGACCAGAAACTTGATGAATCATTCATGGGGTTTAGCTTTACACCTACTAATTTGCCACTACAGCCCACTAGTTAGTGATCATTCCTCTTAGTTTTAGTTCCCTTACTGGACCAACTGGACCATTACTGGTCCATCGCTGGAAGCTCTATGGACCTGGTCTGCTTCCCTTCAAAGGCCAGAAATACTGAAGCTGAAGGGCAGCCAGAGTCCCAGACTCTACGAAGGCCTTTATTCCAATACCACAAAAACCACAAGGCCTTCGTGTCTCCTGTTCTGGACCAGCTGGACAATGTCATGTATGGGATTACAACTGGGCCATACAGAGAGAGAGAACAAGGGGTGGGAAAGACTGACTGAACAAGAGAGTGGGTGCTTAGCCTTCGGATAAAGGGAAAACAGGAAGGAGAGGACAGGAAAACGGCAGAGTGGACAAAGGGATAGAGCGATCTGCACAGATCAAATGGACCAATAATGGACTGCTGACATGTGACGCACTTATTTGTCTCACTGCTAAATTGGTGTGAACCTGTGAGACTGCTGACAAAAGGATGAATGAGGGAACGATCGAGTGAGTGACTTACTGAATAAACGCATGTTTGTAAGAACGAGAAGACAAGGAAATGTATGTAAAAGTGTGTGTGTTTGTTTGTGTGCGTGAGTGAGTGAGTGCACCAACAACCATGAGTGAAGCTGGATCACGAGGGACTCTGGAAAGGGACCATCCAGTCCCTGCATGAACCCGTGACAACTCACCGCGGGGACTGAAGCTTTAAGAACTGGAATGTATAAAAACCAAGCTGCACCAAAAACAGCAAGCCAGTCACAGCAAACCAAATCAACAACCGACCAAAGACAACTGGAGACCTTCTTCATGACTCCTCCCCCCCACTCCCCCAGGGACACTACAACCTCAGCTTATAGGTGCAGAGGATGAGAAGTGCAGGGACGAGCATGGCGGGGAGGGTGCCTTGTCTATTAGCATTGCTATAGAAACGACCCAGGGGAGGATGCTCCTGTGTGATACCGTGGATACAGAATGCTGCTACCAGGACATTCAGTGGAACAAACCAAAGTCTCGTGCATACACACAGGAGAAAAAATATTAAAGGGAACAATTTATTGAAAGTTATATATATTATATATATAAAAGAAGACAGAAACCCTAAATAAGCAATCTTACTATGATGGTTATTATAATTATTACGATAAAATTATTTCATTTATTTATTTCAGCTCTGTGTGCAGCAGTCTTTCTCGACTCAGTAAACCCTACAGAAACATTTCCTGTGTGTCACAGCCTCTTTAAACTGCTTCTTCACGTGCTCTCTTTTCTGTCAAAGAATATGTTGTAGAAAGAGATTCAAGTTCGCCGAGCCTCCAGATGTGCTCGGCTGGCTTCAAAGCCCAATACGTTGATAGACAAAAATGATTTGTCATGTACCAAGCAACAGTTACCAACCGTTGCTTGTTCCAGCTACTGTGATCTGAGGGTTTGATTGTTTGCTCTGTTTTATATCACTCTAAATTGAATATCTTTGGGTTTTAGACTGTTGGGTGAACAAAACAAGCCAAGAAATTTCCCTGGGCTCAAAGAAATAGTGAGACGCAGTAGGGTTGGGCGATATCATGAGATATACCTAGATACAGTACACATTTGTCAATCATCAGAGATTGTGCAATACATTATATACCAAGATATTTATCGCTTTAATATATATGGTTGTATTAGATCATTGTTGGCAATATCGCAATCAATCAGTGTGCAACTCTAATGAATTGTAATATTGAGTTTGAGGGACTTTTGCATCAATGTACCTTAATTTGTCACGTATTCAGTTCACTGGATTAACCAAAACCAAACATTGCCCCTTTTTAATTGATCCATACAACTTCTCACATGAATTTACAATATTTTATATAGAATTGCTTCTATTGTGATATATTGTATCTATATCGCCCACTCCTAATAGGATTTGTTATTCTATTGGCATTATATAGATGACAAGATTAATTGTAAAAAAATACAGTTTTTTTTTAGAAAACTACATAACTAATATTCTCTGAGCAAGTATCAAGGGCCAATAGCAGCCAGTCACTGCAAAGCTATCAAATTCTGCATTTCCCACAACAATTAAAAAGTTATTCGCCGACTTCAGCGCTTTAAAATGAAATCAACAGATTTCTAATAGATGCAAGGGGCAAGAACATAAAGGCAGGAGAAGAGCAGGTTCTGTAGTTCACATAGTTCCTGTCAGTATAGGTTGAAGTCACTGAAGCTCGAAACTCAGACATTTGCTTTAAAAAAATACAAATCTAAGATGGACCCGCCTCACTCGGGAACCGCTTGAAACTGCTGAGCACTGACTGTTCAAAATCAATAGTGACCTCCACATTTTTGCCATAATTACACAACATGAAGGCTCAGACAGAACAGTGGAAGGGAAACATGCAGTAGTGAGTGAGAGTTTTGTTGCTGCTTCTCGTCTCCTCTATCCTGCTCTTATCCCCCCCATGCCTCCCCTTCCTTCCCTATCCTAGCAGGAGGTCATTGAAGAGATGTCGCTGCCAAATGACCCAATCATGCCGGCAGACACAAACAGCTGACTCAGGGGGGAAAAGGGTTGTACCAGAGGAATCCTATTGCAAGGCAGCAGGAATCTGTGCTGGAGGGGGTGGTACAAGGGGGAGACAGTGGGGTGGAAGGGAAACAGGGGGTTGGGGTGGGATAAAGAAGAGTGAGTAGGGGGTGGTGGGGTGAGTTGTTCATTTCTGGAACGTTGCTCTAGTTCCACTCGGGAATGATGGAAATATTCCGCATAGCCAAACCCAGAGTGGAAGGTGTATGGTAATCATGTCGGGGAAGGAATGCCAAATATGTGCGTGAGAAAGGAGCTGTGACCTGAGAGCTGCAGGAATTATGGGCCAAAATCCCACAGACCCAGAGGAAGCACACACACCCATATCCAAGTCATGCACACATCATATACTAACGGTGCTCCACCAAGCACAAATCCATCCCACATAACTTATTCCCAGAATTTAAAACATTCTGCTCTACTAAACTAAACCCAGAAATTTTGGAAACCAACTCCCCTCCCTCTACTAGTCGAGAGAATACACACTACAATAACCATACCGACGCATGATAGAGCTCAATTACACAAGCCAGATCTTTGCTATAAAGCCCCGACTTTAAGCATCTCACATGCACATTCCTCCTTCACAGTTACAGTATTTACAAGACTGAGTATGTGATCTACTGTAACAGGTTGTTTAGACTCTAAACTAGGCTACCCAGCAGTCAGAGCCCAAGTCTCCAAAACAGATCACACCGTGGGAGATTGCTGAGTTTATACTCCCACCTGGTGGCCATCCTTGATACACTGTCATCCCACAATGGTTTAACCAACATTTGTCTATCTTAAATGACTTCATGTCAAAATTGTAAAACAAAAAAAAAGTAACAATTATGAAAATATTGGAAAGTCTTACTAACGGATACCGAGAACCAAATGAATGTGTAACGCATATACAATGTGGTTTCAAATTAAAGAAAGTTGACTTTAATATTGTGACGTCTTTGTTGATGCAAATTTGCCTTCAGTTATTTTATTTTTTACAACTTTTGACGATTGAAAAGCTGAGGAATTCTACATACTGTCAATCACTTGTACTCGCTTTGTTAAAGTGAAAAAGGTCTAAATTAACTTGAAGGTCTGAGGACTGATCCATTGTTAATAAAGTCAGTACAAGTGATTGATAGCGTGCAAAGTAAAATAAAAGTAACTAAAGGCCAATGTGTATTAACTAAGTTGGTTATACAATGCTGAGGTCAACTTTGTTTCATTTATACCTACATATATTTTTATCCTTTTTTTTGAACTAGTGCGCCTGCTTGGAGTAGGCCGATTGCTCGGCCCGCGGAAGTTTTGCATTGCCTGTAGGCTCCAAGGAAGTGAAGAGGAATTTGGTTGGATCCTTGCCTTGAACGGCAGATGGATTCTCGCTATGTCTCAAGATCACAGAAGCATCGCATATCATACAAAATAATGCAATAGAGTGCATGCACCAGGGACTCTGGAGAGGACATGGAGAGGCGACTGGTCCTTCTAAAAAACAATGGTGGTTCCTAAAGAGGTTAGCTTAGATGCTGCAATAGCATCAGTTACATCATAGCTGGAGAGTATTTCTTCATTGAAAGAAGAGCAAAGAACGCCACTGAAGATTTTTCTCAATGGCAAAGTCACAGTTTCAAATGACTTCTTCTAAGATGGTTTTGTGAAACATGTTAAGTCAATCTTCTGCTGCACAGAGCACTATAGCTTGTTTCTTCAAAGTTGTTTTTGTATTGAACATGGCGCATATCCAAAGTGCACCAAAGAGTAACGGGCAAAAATGTAAAGTTTATTGTTAAAATAACACAATCTTACCAAGTTGCCCCAACTTCGACAATGAAAGTCCTGGGGTCGTGTGAAGTAGATTGGATGAACGGTTATTGAGATATGTGAAGGACATAATCACATACACATATACTACATACATAACCTATATACACACACATACATACATCCAGATAGACCATACTATGACTTTTTAATGAGTTTTTTTGTGATTGTTTGCTTCTGTGTGTGTACACTGCGTTCAGAGAAACAGTGGAGGAAAACAGCTCTCCTTCAGTGTTTTGGACGGTGAGTTTGGCTAACAGCTAACTTAACTATATACCAGTACACACACTGCTATGCACTTCCCGGTCGCTGCTCTGTGGCCAGAGACACTGGGGGGGGGGGACATTTTGCTCAATTTATTGTTTTGGACGGTGTGTTGTCTAACAGCGAACAGCTAGCTGAACCACCAGTACACACACTGTTGAGTACATCACCGCCACTCAGCCGCTGGTACGCGGGTTTAAGTCTTTTTTATGAGATACGATACGAGGACTTTCTCAAGGCATTCCAAACTGTGACATTTTATGACATACTATACTATGATATTTTATGACATACTATTGACTATGACCGTTTATCACATAAATAAATACATTTATCACACTATAATGTAACTTTATTATGACGTACTATACTATGACGTTAAATGAAATCCTACAGGACTTTTTATGACATGCTATACTATTACTGACTGTTAAACATTAATGACTTATTGTCAAATTACATTTTTACTACATAATATACCATAACATTCTAGAGACGTTTTTATGAGATACTATGCTATGACAATTTAATTACTATACTTTGACTTTTTTGTAAAATTCTAAAATATACTATACAATTTCTATTTTTTATATATATATATATAAACTTTTTATGTCAATTTTGTGATATACTCTATGAATTTGTATGACATTTTCATGCCGTACTATACTGTGATCTTTTTGTAACATTTGTATGACAAACTATATTACAAGATTTTATGCCATTGTTACAACGTACAATTTAAAAAAAAAACTACAACTCTACTATGACATTTTTATGACAAAACTGACTTTTTCACGACTTATTTAATGTCATAATATAGGATGTTTTTTAGGACATACTAGTATGACGTTTTACATTTTTTGACTTATTTTACTATGACATTTTATTACATAATGTACTGACTTTTTATGAAATACTATACTTTTCAAGACATCAATACTTTTTTGTCGTAGTATACTATGACCTTTTTTATGACTGACTATCCTATAATTTACAAACTGACTTTTTTATGCACTTTGAAAAAATTTAACTTTAAATGTCATATTGTACAATCACTATTTAGTGATATTTTTATAATATACTATAACTTTTTGACACACTATACTATGACTTTTTATGACATACTATAAAATACAACACTATTACTTTTCAATGACAAACTCCTGAATTTCCCTTTTATATGACTTTTTTTTTTACAACATTCTAACAGATTTTTTGAATATTCTACTGTGACCTTTCATAACATTTTGTTTGAATACAATATCATGATTCTTACGACATGCTATACTAGGACATTTCATGACACTACTTTTTAGGACATATTATACTATTCATTTTACATCATATTTTCATGACATACTATAGTATGACCTACTTATTCTATGATTCCGAGTTGCACATATTATTCAGAAGTATAAGGTCCACGGGACTGTAGCCAACCTCCCTGAACGTGGCCACAAGAGGAAAATTGACAAAATAAAGACACGGATCATACAAATGTTAACCAAAGAGCCCAGAACTTCCAACGAGATTACAGCTGAACTCCAAACTCAAGGTCCATCAGTGTCAGATCGCACCATCCGTCGCCGTTTGAGCCAAAGTGGACTTCATGGAAGGCGACCGTGGAGGACACCACTGTTGAAAGCAAATCATAAAAAAAACGAGAATGGAATTTGCCAAAATGCACATTGACAAGTCAAAGCTCCTGGGAGAATGTCCTTTGGACAGATGAGATAACACTGGAGCTTTTTGGCTCATCAGCTCTATGTTCACAGACGCAAAAATGAAGCATACAAAGAAAAGAACACTGTACCTACTGTGAAACATGGAGGAGGCTCGGTTGTGTTCTGGGGCTGCTTTGCTGCATCTGGCACAGGGTGTTCTGAATCTGTGCAGGGTACAATGAAATCTCAAGACTATCACGGCATTCTAGAGCAAAATGTGCTGCCCAGTGTCAGAAAGCTTGGTCTCAGTTGCAGATCATGGGTCCTCCAACAGGAGAATGACCCAAAACACAGCTAAATACACCCAAGAATGAATAAGAGCAAAACATTGGACAATTCTGAAGTGGCCTTCTATGAGCCCTGATCTAAAGCCTATTGAACATCTGTGGAAGGAGCTGAAACATGCAGTCTGGAGAAGGCACCCTTCAAACCTATTATGACTTTCTGACATACAATATTATGACTGTTTAATTACTTTTTTTTTTAAACATACTGTACTATAACTCTTTAATTACTTTTTCAGACATAGTCAATCGAGATGCTGATTGTTGAGTTGGTCAACTGAGAAAACTCCACTCAGGAAGACCACAAGATGCTGTGATCTCCAGAAATATCTAGTAACGGAATCTTGAATGTTTTAAGAAAAGTCCAGAAATCCACACAATGGAAATGCAGTCTTTGTCAGAGGGACACATAACCACCGATTCCCTTATGTTCGTCTGAAGAACAAAAAGGAACAAATTTAAGGCCTACGGAGTGTTTTATGCACATGTTAGATAGAAACAATCCACCCGCACTTGCACACAGACAAGGACAGACAATCAAACTCATTCATGTTACAGTTGGCTCAACACTCCACCACTGTCAAGTACTTTATTCACAATAAGGTCATTTTCTTCTTTAAAAAATCATTTTTAATATACAACACAATTTTTGACAAGACAACTCCGTTTACAGCTAAATTTGAGCTCTTGAGTTCCAGCTTCTCTCATAACCAACGCAAGCACGTAGATGATGGGGGAGAGAAGGATGGAGTGAAAGGGACAGATGAACATGGGTCGAAGTTAGAAGAAAGAATGAGGAAAAGGCAGTAAGAGAGAAAGAGAGAGGGGGAAATAGAAAGAGGACTACGCTTAGTATGATTTTTGTACTAAGAACCAAAATACGCAAATAAAATGAGAAAATAACAGTAATAAAAAACAGTAAGAAAATAAGAGTTAAAGAGAAAAAAAAGCAGAGGTCTACCAGGATGCTGTATCCAAGGCAACCTCACATGCATGTCTGTCTGTCTGACGCTTCTGGTCGTTCTGCCGTTTCACAAGTCCACATACACAAACACACACTCACACAAACTTGAGTGTGTGCGCCCCCATACTCCAAGCGAGTGTGCATCTCTGGGGGTTGGGGGTTAGGGCTTGGG